AGGAAAGAACAAACATTTGCAGGTCCAATGGCTCATCCGTCAGTGCTGAACATGCCTCCCCATCTTTTCTACATGAAAGAATGCTTGAGCCAAGCAGGCCAGTACCTATTAGGGAGGCCTTGTGGGTACCTGGTCTGTGCTGTATTGGGTTCCCTTGAGAGCAATGCAGCTGTGCATGTTCCTGGGTGGAGTGGCTTTCCCCAATATGGTACCTTCCAGATGGTTTGGACTACAGCCCCGATCAGCCCTAGCCAGGGATTGTTAGCCATTCCATCCAAAACCATCTGGAGGGCACCAGGTTGGGAAAGGCTGCTGTGGGGATTCACCTTTTCAGATCTCCCTGCTTAACCATTGCATCAGAAGCATACACCATGCCCCTCAAGCAGGACTCTTGCTGGCAACAAACACCAACGCAGAAACAGCCTTGAATGTGATATGCTGGGGCATTTTGATGCAAATCGGCCAGCCCTCTGGTTAGGCAGAGGGACTGTAAAACGCTAGTCCTTTTGCTGACTCTGGGGTCATTGCCCTGGCTGCTCTTCAGAGGAGTCCCACCTGAGCTGGCTCTCTGCAGTGGAAATCCTGCACCACCACCAGGATGGATTCAGCTCCCTCCCCTCCCCATGCAGAGCTGGTGCCCAAAGTGCTTGCAGTGAGTTTCTGGCAGCTTTACAGCTCTTTATTTCACAGCACAATCCCTGAGTCACGGTTCCTTGCAGGTTTGGGAGCCACTGCAGCAGCAGCAGCGGCAGCGGCAGCAGCAGCAGCACTCCAACCTCCCTCAGACCTACCATGTCTATCACATCCCTTAAGCCAGCAGAAGACTCACCAGTTAAGGGTTCTGCCTGCTGACTCTCTGCCCAGAAATTACCCCAACTTCAATAGCCATTGCAACTGTGCTTTCAACTGCTGCCCCTCTTTGGGGGTCTTCCTCCTGAACGCTCCTCTTCTTTTGAGATCATTTACTGAAAGGAATGCCCACTGCAGATGTGAGATTGCTGCCTAAAATGGCTAGATCAGCATTTGCACATTTAAATGCTCTCTCTCATAATTTACTTTCCTTTCTGCCCCACCCCCTTCCTGAATTCCAGCCTCTGTTAGTGGGGGGAAAGATGGCTTGGAGGGGGCACCAATTTGTGCAGGCTTACTGGAATGGCTGGAGGTGTCCTGCCGTCACTAGAAGCTGCAGCAACTCAGGGTTGCATGCCTTGTGCCACATTTGTCGTCCCTAAAAAGGTACCCAAATTTGGCTGCCTCCCGTGCATGCTGAACTTTTAAATCTGTTACAAGCTGGCTTTATTAGTATGCCAAAGGCTATAGCTCAGTGGTAGCACACCAGTTTTTCATGTAGAAGTTTCAAGGTTCAATCTACAGTGGCATCACCAGGCAGGGCTGGGAGATAACCCCAGCTGAAACCCTGGAGAGCTGCCTGTGGACAGTAGTAGGTAGGCCAATGGCAGTTTCCTATGTTCCTATGCATTGTGAGCAGCTCACAGCCTTGGCACTCCTTCCTTGCACGCCACTGCATCAGAATGCCTTCTGATCAGGCAGGGATCCTGAGATGCAGATATTTGGGCTAAGCCAGTCATGTGCCCCTGAGCCGGGTGATGAGTCTACGATGCCTGTTCTTCTGGTCCTCATGATCAAGCGGTGAAATGGTCCAACCTCACATCAAAGAGCCACAAAAAACATCGGAGAGAACCAAAATTGGCTTAAGGGTTTTTTGTATCACCTATCACTCACGACCTGCTGTTGTTTGTAAAGTATTATATTAAAACTGCAGCACATGCACAGGCATGAACGGCCTCTGCTGCTCTCCTGGTGATTCAGGGAGATGCAGCAGTGAATTCCTTTGTGGTGCGATGTGGCATACAATAGTTTTTAAGGCGTCAGAAGACTCTGTGTTGCTTTTGCTGCAATGGATCAATGCCCTGCCTCAAGAAACTGTCATCTCCTGCAGCATCGTGTGTTTCTGTGCTTCTGTTTAACTGACTCCTGTGCTTTAATGCTTGCCCTGCTCCCCACATTAGATAGGCTCTCCTTGGCCAGTCATCTCCCACTTTTCAGCTCAGGATATGGGCTACTGCATCAGGGAGGCAGAGAAGTAGCCAGCCTGGCCTAGGACCTGTGCTTTAAGGGGTCTAGGAGCCTGGGTGGGTGGGGAAATAGAATCTTCTCAGCTAAAATATAGACTGCAAATCAGAAAAAGCACAACCAAGGCTAAAAGAATGTCTGTGTGGTTAACAAGCAGAATCAAGAGAGCTGTCAAATGTAGAGAGACCTTTTGGAATAATATGATTAATCTTTATTGTAACATGTGATACAAGTCTGTACGTTTGCCAGGGCACTTTTTGTTGTCTGAAGTTGTAAAATTCTGCTTGATTTCTATTGTTGTTTTGTCGCAATCTGAAAAATGAAAAAGACATGTCAAAAAAAAAAAAGAAAAGAAAAAGAAAAAAGTTGTCAATGTGACTTCCTTCAGAAAATGGAAGTTATGCCCAAATACATTAGAAGTGGGAGACAGGCTAGGGAGATGGTTGGACATCTGGGTAATAAGGGAGTCACAGGTGTGCTGAAGGTGGAAAATGAGATTTCAGAGAAGCTGAATGAATTATTTGCCTCTGTTTTAACATAAGAAGGTAAGGAAATATGCTGTTTGATCAGACCAAAGGGGACCCAACTAGTCCGGCAACCTGTTCTCACAATAGCCAATGAGATGTCCCTTTTGGACAGTCTGCAAAGCAGAGCCTGAATGCAACAGTAGCACTCTTCCTGCTTGTCATCCCCAACAGCCTGTATTCAGAAACACACTTCCTCTGGCAGTGGAGGTAGTATACAGCCATTGTGGTTAGTAGCCACTAATGGTATTTTTGTCCTTGTGACACAACAGTCCCTCACCAACCACTCTCAACTAAGCTTAGCAGTCTTGGGATGATTGGAGAGCTCCTACTTGATGGATTGAGGATTAAATATGTAAATTCAATTTTAAACCTCCTATCCCATGTGTGTGGGAGAAATATGACAGTAAATAGCCCTTTTAGAAGAGTAAAAACACTTCTGCACTTTTGCTGCTTACTGGAAGCTAGGAAATAGGCAATCACATATTTTATTCCCTGTTTATTTGTGGTCTGTTGACCTTCCCTTCTTTGTCCCCTTTGCAAAGAATGAACTACACGTTTTAGTAGGATGAACAAAAAGGTTTCCTTACATTTCAGTGCAGGCAGCAAATACCTAAGAGTAGTATGTGGGGAAAAATATTTCTTAGCTACAAAAATGGAGTCTGGGCTCTAAGCAGAGCCCAGGCATGTATGTCTGCTCACATCACTGGTTTGAACGAAGAGAGAGCATGAGCGCTCAGACAGGGAGGAAGTATATATGATTATCTCCTTTGTTAGAAATTCCCACCAAAGCATTAAGGAAGTGACCTCACATAGTCCCTTCTATAATGATTCAGGAACTCTATGTGTTTAAGCCCCTCATCTGCCTGTCTGGGCTATCATGCCTTTGTCATTTTGACTTGAAATCCCACCCTCCTCTCATGGCTCAGTAACTGGAAAGCAGAGAGCAGGAATAGGAGGACAGTTCTCTGGGGAGCAGAATCTGGGAGAGTGCTGCTGCACTCATGTCCTGCTTATGAGAACAGGACGTGGTCTGATCCAGCTGTGGGGCTCTCCTCCTGTTCTTAATGTGCTGCTGAGGCGGCACAATTGCAAACTCCTTGAGGGCCTCCATCCATTAATGGATGCCTATCCCCATTACTCTTCTGCTGATGGCATCTGCAACTGGATGCCACACCCTGGAGGGAAGTGATCATGTAGGACAAGCTGGAGTCTCTCTTTAGCCTTAACAGCCTTTTATGCTTCTGAAAATCAGCTGCTAGAAAATGCAGGGGGAGAGAGTGCTCTTGCACAGGTCTGCTGGCAGGCTGCCCAGGGGCAGTTGGATTGCCACTGTGAGAACAGGATGCTGGACCAGTTCCTGCAGGGCTCTTAGTGTGTCCTTTATGTTATGTTCTTAAGCTATTTGGCCAATGGTCCAGAGAAGCATGTGGGGGCAAGACAGGCTTGGCCAGCTGTACCACAAGGCCTGTGGCAGCTGCTCCACCATGATCTCATGATGATTGTCCCTGTTCTTTGGTAGCTGCTTCACCCTGTCTAATGGTGGAGCTGGTCCTGAAGTGGACAGCACCACCCACCCCGTTGGTCACAAAAACGACTGCCTATACAGTATATTAAGGGACGCGGGTGGCGCTGTGGGTTAAACCACAGAGCCTAGGACTTGCCAATCAGGAGGTCGGCGGTTCGAATCCCCATGATGGGTGAGCTCCCATTGCTCAGTCCCAGCTCCTGCCAACCTAGCAGTTCGAAAGCACGTCAAAGTGCAAGTAGATAAATAGATACCACTCCGGCGGGAAGGTAAATGGCGTTTCCATGCACTGCTCTGGTTTGCCAGAAGCGGCTTAGTCATGCTGGCCACATGACCTGGAAGCTGTACGCCGGCCCCCTCGGCCAGTAAAGCAAGATGAGCACCGCATCCCCAGATTCGGCCACGACTGGACCTAATGGTCAGGGGTCCCTTTACCTTTATACAGTATATTGTGCAGCTTGTTCTCACCCAGGTCAGGTGATAAGGAAAAGAGCTCCCGGATGAGGCCAGGTGGGCTTCAGGTGTGGATGGGCGATCACATCGCAGTGAGAAAGAAGGGCTAGAATACTCGTGTCATGATCAATGCTGAGTGGGTGGGACCCACTAACTGGGATGCCCAAGGGCACTTGGGATGGGGGTCGAGTAAGGACATCGCCCTGATAAAGGAGGACTTTGACCCACTCTGATGCTCCCGGCAGACATGGCTGCAGAGACTGGCTTGGGAGCCCCTGGCATCAAGGGCGAGGAAGCGAGCTTCTCGTCCTTTTTACTGGTCCCGACCCAGATTTTAGGATCCTCACTCCGGCGGAGGCTCTCTGCCTTTCTAAAAAGTGACCCACGCGAACAGCCTTCCCTGCCTGCTTGCAGACAGGGCTCCAACCGACTCGCCCCGTCGGCGCTGCGTACCGGCTAGTCCCGCAACTTTCGCCAGCCTCGCGGGCCGGGCAAAGAGGCTTTCTGCTCGCTCGGTCCAGTCCAGGGCTCGCTGCGGAGGAGGCGGTCCCGCCAAGCCGAGCTCGGAGCCGGCTGCCTCCGCCCCTCGGAGCCTCCCAGCCGCGGCTGCTCGAGGGGGCGGGTCGCGCGCGCGGCAACTTTTGGAGCCCGAGAGAGCCGCGGAGGCTGGCAGCGAGGGCAGGCAGCAGCGGAGCGAGAGCCACACTTGGGACGCCGCTCGCTCGCTCGCTCGGGCCGGCGGAAGAGGCCACTGCGGCGCTGCAGCTGGCGAGGAGATGGCCGGGGGCGCGGGCGGCGGGGCCAGGGGCTGGCTGGGGGTCGCCCTGGTGGGTAAGTAGCGGGGCCGGCAGGCGGGGAAGGGAACGGCGGAGGCGAGTGGAGAGCGGGGACCCGGCGCAGGTCCTGCCGCAGGCGGCGCTCCGGCTGGGCTGGGAGAGGCGAAGCTGCTGCCGGTTCAGCTGCGCAGAGTGGGGTGGAGGGAGCCGGGAGGGCGGGCGGGCGGTGTGCCACACCGCAAAGCAGGGGCGCCTCCCACCCCGAAGAGGACCGCGCCGGCATCTGGGCGGCTGGAGCGAAGTGGGCGCCTGCCAGCAACTTGGCTGCGGGAGCCTGGCTACGAAACACCGCCCCCCTCCCCACGCAAACACACCGGCTTTCTCCGGGCCCGGAGGACAAGCCCCCTCCCCGGGAGCAACTGCAGCAGCTCGGGGCCCCAGCAGGACATCCTGGCCACCCGCACCCGCAGTGCCGCTGGGGCTCCCTTGCAAGGAAGAAACTGCTGCTGTCCAAACTGCAGCTCCGTATCCTCCGACTCCTGAGTGCGGCGGCAGGGCGGGGGGAGGCAACATTTGCTTCTGCTCTGCTCTGTTGGGACAGGCTCCTGTCTCCTCCCCGTTGGAGCTCCAGTCTGCCTGCATCTCGTCATCTTTTTAAAAAATCATTATTATTTCTTCTTCTATTTTTATGTAAAATCGTACTGGAATGGGTATATTAAATAGTGTATAGTTCAAGACAACACACACCAGTGCCTAAGGAAAAAGAACTCTGATAAAGGGTGCCTTTAGTTCAAAGCAAAGGAAAACTGGCTCTACCGCCCTCCCATCTTGTGGTTGTGGGGCAAACCTGCTCCTGCTCTTTGACCCATTGGGACTTGGGAACAGCGAAGTCCCCAGACCCAAGACCAGGCCACTGGTCATTAATTTAAGCACAATGGCCCTACTCTGCACCCACTTTCAGAGTCAGTGTCAGAACATTAAAAATGCTCCCTGCTGCTGGATCTGGCCAAGGGGGACCCATCTAGTTCAGACCATGTTGGCCAACCAGATGTCTTTTCTGGGAAGCCCACAAGCAGGACTGAACTGGTATTCAGAGGTGGAGGTGGAACATAGCCACCACCAAGCCTACTGATGGCTCTCCAGGGGGAGGTCAACAGGCAGTGCCTGCCTCCCTGTGCATTCTGCTCCAAGGCAGCACAAGTCTGTGGGTGGGCAAGTCAATGGAAATGCAATCCAGAGATGGCAAAGGTCTTCCATGCTCTTGGTCAAGTTGAATGGCCAGTCCAGGTAGCAGAGTGCGACCTGTCTTGAATGGGGTGCTCTCACATGTTAGCCATGCTCCCAGACTCGGTTTTAAACCTGGATGCTCAGGTGGTTGCTGCAGCTAGGAGTGCTTCTGAGGAAGTTAGGCTGGTGTGCCCATTGCACCTGCCCCTTGAAATGGCAGATCTGGCCATTTGTGCCTTAGCGATGCCATGTTTGGATGACTGTAGCATGCTCAACACAGGATTGAAACCGCCAAGTGTTTGGCATGCTGCAGCCAGACTATTGATGGGAGCCGGGACTGTGTGCATTGGCCTCCAGTCATAGGGAACAGCTGCACTGCCTTCCTGTTCATTTCTGAGCCCAGTTCAAAATTAAGTTTTAAAGCCCTGGATGGCTTAGGCCCAGGTAACTTGAATGACCTCAGATCCTCCAAGTGTCCCTGTTTTCCAGGGACATCCCTGATTTAGAGAAGTCATCCCAGTTTCCGATTTGATCCCAGAATGTCCCACCTTTCCTTAGGATGTCCTTGTTTTCATTGGATAAATGTTGGAGGGTATGGAGTTATCTGACCTCCGAGCCATCTGAATAGGGAGTATAGGGTATAGGGAAGGGTTTTTTTTAAAAAAAAAAGTTTAATGTTTTATTATGTTTTCATATATGTTGGAAGCTGCCCAGAGTAGCTGGGGCAACCCAGGAAGATGTGTGGGGTATAAATAGTAAAATTATAATTATGGAATGGGACGTCCCTATTTTCATCGGAGAAATGCTGGAGGGTATGTAACCTGACTCAGCTCTGCTGCCCAGGCATTTAGTGCAGCACCAACCCAGGCGGGAGGGTTTTTTTTGGAGGGAGGGGGGCGGGGCAAGTTTGTCATGGTCCTTTGAGCATCTATCCCCTGCACCACAAAACTGCTCTGTCTTGGATCTGGCTTAGAGGGCCTGCTTCTGGTATTGGGCCATAGAGACATCTGACGGACAGCAACTCGCTCAGCTGCCCAGAGATGTCCGAGGCAGTCTCAAAGGCCCAGAATGGTGGTCCTGGGTGACTTCAGCAGTCACATCAAGGATACCTTTTGCCCTACTTGGGACTTTTTAGCAACCATGGGGCTGGCCCAAAATATCACTGGTCCAATGCATAATGCAAGGCATACCCTCAGTTGAGTCCATGTGAGAAAATGGGTTATCTGAAGGTAAGGGGTCCTATTGTCATGGTCAGACCACTCCCTAGTGAAGTTTGGGCTTATGACATCTGTCTCTCCCTGCAGGGGTGGGGACCTCTTAGAATGGTCCCTCTACACAGGCTAATGGATTCCTGAATGCTCTGGGGGGATTTCCCAGTGGGTAGAGTTGGTTATTCTATCAAGACCCTGCTTTCCCTATGGAATAGTGAAATGTTATGGGGCATTGCTATGATTTCTTCCAAATATCTTCTGTGATCCTGCAGAGCCTTTTGGGCTGTGGGCAATAAAACAAGCTGGCCAGTTTAGCAACAGTGGGTGCCTCTTAGAGGGTGCCCACCCCGTGATCAGGGGGAGCAGGGCATTTACAGCACTGCTGCATCTCCTGCCTTGTGGAAGGAATTCCATCCCTGCTATTATCAGGCAAGCGCCAGCTGTATCAGTCCTGTGATGCTGGCTCCAAACCTATTTTTCACACATGCTTTTTCCGAAATGTGACCTAGCTATGCTTACCATTGATCAATATGATTTGAGTTTTTTTAATGAATTAGATAGATATCCATGGTTCATTGTGGTTTTACACAACTTCAGTATTTTCCTATGGAAAGTGCTATATCATTTGTCTAATAAAATAAATAGCATTTAATCCTTGCCTATGCTGAGCAGAGTAGATGTTGACTGACTTGGACCCCCAGAGCTTCACGGTAGGCAAGTGGGAGTCGCTCCAGTTCTTTAGCCTCCCTTGGTCTACCTTGGTCGCTGTATTATTAATTGCACCACCATTGTCTGGTGTTTTACAGTGTGAGATTGGCTACCTCCCTGTTTAAACATTATCACCAAGTTGCAAAAAAAGAAATGGAGGGAGAGGGGCCAAGGAAGGGTCACAATGGAATGATCTGATTTCTGTTTGCTTTACTAATCTCAGCACTGGGCTTTTTGGGGATCCAGAGAGCAGACCTTGCATCAATGAGCTGCAGGGACTATGCATGTGTCCTGTGATTGTGCCTCTGCTATTTGGGGGCTGGCCCTGGCTCTGAGGCTCCCTAGCTCTTCTGGGGTGGCTCATGGCCCCAGGATGACTTGCTACGCTCTTTCTGGCAGGAGCTGCAGTGAGATGATGAGGCCCCAGGAGGCCCCCATCCATTCTGTTTGCAGGAGGAGGCCTGGGCAGGTTGTTGCTCCTAATGGAACTGGTTGCTCAGCAGCCCTTTCCTGGAAGAAGGGAGGCCTCCTGTGGCCCTCTTGGAAACTCTGGAAGCTGCTGGCTTCAGAAAGGCAGCTCACACCACACAGGTGGCAGCTGCAGGCTCCTAGCCATATCTGGAGAACATAGGAAGCTGCCTTTATACAGACTCAGGCTCTTGGTCCATCTAGCTCAGTATTGTGTCTCTCTGCATTGAGTGTCTCTCCAGGATTTCAGGCAAAGGAGCCTCTTGGCCCTACCTGGAGATGCTAGAGATTAAACCTCAGACTTTCAGTTTGAAGTGCAGTTGCTCTGCCACTGAGATCTTCCTGATGCTCCTGAAGGTACCACTTAATCCTTGACCCAAGGAGCCCCAAAATCTGCTCCCTTTTAGCTCCCTTTTACCTTTTTATCCTTTTGTTTATTTAAGAGATTTTCATACCACCTTTCATCATTGATTCCATTGGTAGGCTGGAGTCAATGGCTGGCTGGCTGCTGCTGCTGGTTAGAGATGCAGAAAGGAGCTGTCACAAAGTGCTGGTCATGGCTGGATTGATGCCCAAAGTAGTGGAGCAGGCCAGGGAATTGGCAGGGGTCATCGGACTGGGTTTCCAGCTCCTGGGCATGGCCTGGGATCCTTCTGCAGTCTTCCAGAAGCTCCAAGCCAGATTCATCTGGATGCATTCTCTTCCGCAACCGGCAAGCTCCCAATTCTCTTAGCCTTGGCTTGTTCTGTAGCTGCCTTGCTCTCCTGTCAAAGCCATAGCAAGGGGGCAAAAGCATTGAGGCCCACTGTGCTGCCAAGGGGATTCCTGCAGTTAGGGTTATGATGCTGTAGGTGGTGCCCTTCCTTTGGGCTCCTTGCACTGAGCTCGGGGGGGGGGGGAGAGCCTTTGTAGGTGCTAACCTGCTGGCTGGAGTGTGGTGAGATACTTCAGAGGGTAGTTGCTCTGTGGGTCCCCAAAAAGCACACAATTGTACAGCCAGAGGGTTTGCAAGACAATTATTTGGCTCTGGCCACAGGACCTCTCCAAATCTATAGTCTTGCTGGGCTAGCCTTTGGTCTGTTCTTGGACAAAGGGAGTCTACTTTTCCAGGCTCTGTGAGGAGGCAAGCTGGATAGAGAGCACGGTGGTTGAGGCACGTGCAGCAGAGGATGTGATGGCGCACAGCTTAGCAACTGCATCAATCCCAGTTCCTGATACTTGTTTGCACTGAAGATCTGGGGACCCTGGAATCTCTTCATCAGCCAGGCCCCTCTTGAGTGGGTGCCCAGGACCAAAGCTGTGGGGGAACCAGCGAGAGAGAACCTTATGCATTCCCGGTGCTTCCTTTCTCTTTCTGCTTTGTTAATATATATGAGAAGATGCGGGGAGAGAGAGATGCAAGTTGCCTGATGCAGCAGCTCTGAAGCTGGCAGTCTGAAGGTCATCTGTCAGCTGTAGCACCAAAGGCAAAGCTATCTTCCAAAGAGACTAGGCTGCCCAGATATCTTTGGTGGGAACAAACAGCACATAAGAGATGGAGCCTGTCTGGCTGGGCTAACTAGCAAATACTGAGGGTGGGTAGCATGCAGGTGTGCAAAAGACTCGGAGAGAGGGTTTTTTTTTGGGGGGGGGAGGTGTCTTCAGGAGCATCTTGTAGTTTCATGCTCCCATTTCCACATCTCTTGCAGAGGTGGACCTCATTTCTGGGTATCGACAAGGCAGGATGCTCAGATCTTGGGAGATTCCCCAATCCTTTACTTTGTCCAATCTTAAGCATCAGCCACTGATTTCCCCATATGTGATAACTGCAGGTCCCCCTTGCAGGCCTATCAAGAGGTGGTCAGAGCTGTGCTCATTTTACAGAGCTTAGAAGAAGCTCCTGATGTAGGAGGACAGGCTAAGGATGAGCCATGCCTGCTCCTCTGCAGAGGACCCCTGGTGAAGGGAAGGGCCGTAGCTCAGGAGCAGAGCCCCTGCTTTGCATGCAGAAGGCTCAAGGCTCAATCTCCAATGGCCTCTCCAGGTAGGGAAGACCCCTGCCTGAAACCCTGGAGAACCCTGGGCATCTGGTTGGCCACTGTGAGGACAGGATGCTGGGCTAGATGAGCCATTGGGATGATGATTCATAGAATTGCAGAGTTGGAAGGGACCCTGGAGAGCCATTGAATCCAGCCCCCAGCAATGCAGGAATCATCAGGCTCTTCTTGCATTCTCATGCTGTGTGGTGTGACCCCTTTCTTGCAGGTTCTAAATTAGGGCCCCAAAGAAGGATTACGACCTTTTCAATGAGAATGGACCCTGAGCTGACACTGTATGTTTGGAACTCTAAAGTGCTGGAGGGAAGAAGGGGGAAAAAAATAGCACTAAGAGGCAGCTTGAAACTTTAAACAGTCAGCTTTTTATTTATCCTAATAGCGCATATGACAGCTTATAGAGTTATAGACTTTGCGGTTTACAATGCTTTCACTTTGAACACAGCCTATAGACTGATTTAACAATTATGAGATTAACACTTCCCTGAATGTTCCTAAGCATATCATCTTCAACTCTTAAGTCTCTTAAGTATTTTAGTGGCACCTTTCCCCAGAAGAATTTGGGTACTTGAGCTGTGAGGGGCAGTCAGGCAGGACTCAGAGGGCAGGTAGCTAAAGGGTCCTTGGCCTGGGTGGAGCTTCTACCCATTGGCCTCAGTTCCAGTATTCTTCATTAACGCCATTTTTTGAACAAGCGTTCACTCTTCTGGTTGTTTTAGATAACATTCCAGTGAACAAGTCTCTAATCATGGACATATGGCCTTTTTTTTTTGCCTTGCTGGTCAGCTGTCAACAGGCTTTTTATTTCTACTTTCTTAGCATTCATACCCTGCCTCTCTTCCATTATGGAACCCATGAGCTGCCCAGGAGGTCACCCATCCACGGCACTGTCCAGACCCAAACATGCTTAACTTCAGCAAGGTGGTGGCCTCATATCCCTTCAGAACATACCCTGGTATGTCCACATTTCTGGGAGGGCCTTTGATGCTGTGATCAAGTCTTAGGCTTGCATCTGCCTAGCTTAGGGTGATCAGCACATACTTGGCACAAGGGTGTGTTCTTGGCCAAAGAAAAATATGTTCTTCATCTGTGTGTGTGTGTTCACTTTCTTTGTGAAGGAAACATTACATCATTTCAATGAAAATCCAGTTCTTCTGGTCAACATGTTCTTTGTCTAGAAAACATCTTCTGAGACACTCTGTCATGTGGCCTCCCTGACTATTTCTGGTGACTTTAGGCTAGTGTTAAACACCCTCTGTGGTGGCTGTAAACCTCTTCATTTAAGGCATGCCAGTTTGTTGTAAGAGACCTGTACAGGTTGAACTCTGTGGTAGCCAGTGCCTCTTGGGCAGGGTGGCCACTTCCTGCCACTAACTCCACTTGCGCTGGTTGCAGAGTCCCGATTTCACCCACTAATACTGGTGCATTGGCAATTGCCAAATACTGGGTGAAAACTGTTTGGGTGTGTGTACTTATCACCATGGATGTACTCTGGGTTAGTATCTGGCATAACTCAATGATAGACCTCATGCTTTACATGCAGAAGGCCCCAGGAGGAAACCCTGGACATCTCTAGCTAAAAGGATGGCAGTTAGCAAGTGATGAAATGAATCATTTTCTGCCTGAGGTCGTAAGAACATTGGAAGCTGCTTTGTGTTGAGTCTATCTAGCTCAGTATTGTCGACACAACTAGATGGACAAATAGCCGCTTCCCTGGTGGAAGGCAGCTCCTTCTGCTCACCTGATGGAGATGGATTGAGGACATAATTAGTAAGTTAAAATTTAAACTTCCTGTCCCAAATGTGTGGGATAAATATGAGAGTAAACAGGGTGCAACACTTATTCACTTTTGCAGCTTACTAGAAGCTAGGAATTAGGCAATTACACCTTTTATCCCCATTTATTTGTGGTCTGCTGACTTTCCTTTCTTTGTCCCCACTACTAAGAATGAACCACAAGTTTTAGCAAGATGAACAAAAAGGTTTCCTTACATTTCAGTGCAGGCAGCAAATACATCAATATTGTATGCAGTTAAAAAATCAGCTACAAAATACAAAATTAGTTTCTATAATGGCATCTGGGCTTTGAGCAGAGCTCAGGCATGTGTGTCTACTCACATCACCGGCTTGAAAGAAGAGAGAGAGGTCAGACAGGGAGGAAATACATCAGATTGTCTCCTTTGTTAGAAATTCCCACCAAAGCATTAAAGAAATGACTTCTATATTAATTCTGGAACTCTATGCATGTCAGTTGCTCGTGTGTCCTGTCTGGCAATCATGCATTTGTGTTCTTGACTGGAAATCCCACATCACCTACGTCCATCATTGGGGAGGGCTTCCTGCTTGGTGGTGATGGATGTAAGCTGCTCTGCTTTCCTCTCTGGAGGTGTGTGGAGGAAAAGAGGGCACTTCCAGACAGCCTGTTTACTGAGCATTCATTCTGATTGATTTGCAGGAAGATCAGATGACATTGGCAATTTAATGAGTGCCCACTCTGATTTGTTCCTGGGGAGGTTAGATGACATTTATTTCATCAAAGCAAGTGTTAGCCCATACTGTCCAATGCATCTTCCAATCAATTTCCTTATGGCAAAAAGTCTGATCTTTGGGGCAAGTGGGTTTCTTGCACAAGAACTCCCAAGCAACTATAGCAGTGACACCCAAAAACAGCTACAGTCTGGAAGTGCCCAGAGTCTTCCCCAGCGGAACCACATTACAGTCAACGTGCCTCTGCTTTCTCCTCCTTAGGCCTTCAGCTCTGGTCTGTGACACTTGCCTTGGAGGTTTCGGTGGGCAAGGCGGCCGTTATCTATGTAAAGAATGGCACGGATGTCCTCTTGCCCTGCACATTCACCTCTTGCATCGGAATCGAGAGAGCCAACTTCTCGTGGATCAGCAATAGCACTGAAGTGTGTGGCTTACTACACTTTGCAGGCGAGGGGTTGGATAGCAAAGTGGAAAGGCATCATGATGAGTCTCATTAATAGCCAATGGTGTAACTTTACTGCTTTTATGATTTGCTGATTTGAAGGACACAAAGGCAAAATACACTTGTCTTAATAAGTAATGAGTGAAGGTCTAATTCCTTCCATGTATAACAGCTCACACACAGAACTGTGACCATCTGCTGCCCACCCCCTCCTGTCTCAGCCATGGTCACAAGGGAGGTGGAAAAAGGTCGGTTCCCACCTGGTAAGTCTCTTATCCCCAGAGCATCCTTCAGGAGCTTCCAAACGGAGGCAGTCTCTCCTTGGCAGTTTTAGCTGTCCTGAGAAACCGGCCCCCTTTCAGCTGTGCACTTTGAGCTGTATAACATGGAGCAGGGCTCTTGAGTGTGGCTGCCCCGCTCTGTGGAACAGCTTCCCTTTTGAGACAGGACATCTGCCCATCTTCTGGAAACCCTGCAAGATACTTTTGTTCCAGCAGGCTTTCCCAGCTGGGTAAATGGGTCTTTGTTCTAACTCCTATTGCTGTTTTTAAGTGTTTCTGCTGGGTTGTTGTTTTTTTATATATCACATTGAGACACATGTATAGAGGGTAATTAAATGATGATGATAATTAATGCATCAGGCAGCTCTTTCCCCACCCCAACCCTGACTGTTTGACCCATCAGAGGAAGCTTCTTCTGGACCACCAGACCCTTTGCTCTTTGGTTTTTTCCCTGCTGCAGATATTCAAAGGAATCATCAAGAACAAAGACTCCAAGCCAGAGCCCTATCCAGAGTACAGGTCTCTCATCAAGTACGAGATGCCAACTGATATGGCCCTCAGCAAGGATAACCGGGAGTTCAACGTCTCCCTCCTGCTCCTCTTTGCAGAGTTCAGTGACTCTGGGAAATACACTTGCTTTGTTAAGAACCCAAAAGAGAAGAATGCCAACCATAGTGCCACCATCACGCTCAAAGTGGTCGTGGAAAGTAAGTACCAGTTGCCACCAGGGCAGCTGTTGGGGGCCACAGGGGACCAGCTGCTCCTTTTGTCCAGGGGTTGTGTTGGGGCTCCTTTCCCAGCCCTGGCATTGGGTGGCGAGACAAGCTGGGTCTTCCTCACATGTATAAGGTGTGGAGGCTGCATCTCACCCAACAGCTGCCATATTGGGGAGGAAGAGAGGGAGAGAAGGGGGTGCTTGAAGCCCCTTCCTTGGCTCATGGCACAGCCTGGCATGGATGTGCAGGCAGGGGGCACCCTACCACCCAGGGCCCCTCTTGCCTCACCCTTCCCTATCTGCTCCCTTCCCCAGTGGAGAAGAAGGACAACACGCTAACGCTGATCATTGTGTCAGTCGTTGGGGGCGTCATTGGACTCCTGGTCCTCATCATGTTGATCAAGAAACTCGTCCTCTTCATTCTCAAGAAGACACGGGAGAAGTGAGTGTGGTTGGTTTCCCATTCCCTGCCCACTTCCCCTTGGGAGCAGAGACTGGGTCTCCTGAGAGGCTCCCTTTCACCAGAGGGGCTGGAAGGCCCTGAGCATAGTGGGGCCCAGTATGGCACACAGCATGTGGGCTCCAGCACGGTGTAGGCAACTTGTGTGGCTTCTTTCTTTGGAGTATCACTGGGGTGAAGGGATTCCTTGCCTTCCTGGAGGCCACCTCGTCCCTGTCCCACCCTGGGCTGCTGTTGCAAGCCCTGTTGAGCCCCAGACCTCCTGAGGGTGGTTTATGCCTCTGGGAGGCCTGCTTGCTGAATGGGAAGACTTCCCCACCTTGGGGCTGCCATTGCATAGAAGAAGGGTGAAGCAGGCTGTGGTGGTGGTGGTGCTGGTGGTGGAGAGGACGCGCTGCTGGGAGCAGTGCTAGTTAGCCTCTTTCTTGTTCTCCGCAGAGAGTGTCTTGTGACTTCTTCAGCAAATGACAACACAGAGAATGGGCTAGCCGGCTCCAAAACAGAACAGAAATCCGCCCCAAAGGCATGAGGCCACTGTGGAACTGGTGACCTGTGAGGCCCTGAAATCCAGGCCCAAGAAGAAGAGGAGGAGAGTCGACCATTTCCAAATGATTGATGCTTGAGACACATGACTATATTACACAGTTGGCTGCAACCAGCACTGCTTCTCAGATAAGACTGCAGGCATTGGACAGGCAGGCCGGGGGGAGGAGGGGCTGTGTGCTCAGGTAGTTCTTAAGCCACCAGGAGGATGCTGCCAGATGGGATTTGGTAGGTGTGAGCTTGGGCATCTTCAGTGCAAGAGCCTGGGCTGGCAGGTGGGCGTGGTGCCAGGGACTTGGTTCTCCTCCTGGGCAGAGGGCAACCAGCTGATACAGATGGGCTGTGATCCAGGGGAAATGCTTGGCGCCCTCTTCCCTGCCAGCCTCTCACAGGAGCTGAGGCTCATTTCTAAAGGATGGGAGGGCCAACACTGCTGGGACAGAACTTGCACAGGTAATAGGAGTTTGAAGCACTACTGGGAGCCAGACGCCATTTTGCTTGTACCGCTGCTGGACTTTGTCATCTTTCCTGTATCCTGGAGTGGGTGGGAGAGTGGATGAGCTGCAAATTGCACCTGGAGCCTGCTGCTCTGTCACCACTACTGCCCACCCACCCACCCACCCACCCACCCACCACAACAGCTTCACAATATTTTTTGTTTGTTTTGTTTAAAGCTTGTGTGATTGTGAGGCTGAGGGGGATAGAAGAAGCAGCCTGGCTCTCACTGCTCATGCTACACCCCTCCGAGGTTGGGGTTCCTGAAGTGGCGCTCCCCACCTGCAGACCCCAGGGCTCTTGCAACACCCAGCATGGTGGTGCCCTTGCTCTGCTCTCAGCTGTTCACTGTAGTGAGGAATGGCACCTTTTCCTAGGCAGCCTCTTTCCAACCCAATTGGTGAGTCACAGTCCTGGTCCCAACTTACTTGCATTGGCTCCTTCTCCTGATCTCCTGGTGAGAGAGGAGATGACGAGAGCCAGGAGATTCGCTTCTTGTTTCAGGCCTTTGGACCACCTTGGAGCTGTCAAGGCCTTAAGTGTGAAGCAAGCCAATTCCCTGGCACTCCCCTCCCCTCCTAGCTGGCCTGCCTCTTTGCCCTACATCCCTCCCCCTCTCCTGGGCTTCCTGCTGGGAGAAGAGGAAGGGAGTCTCTTCTGTCTGGCCACGCTCAGCAGCAACTCTGATGGGAACCTTGCAAGGCTTGCATCCATCTGCAGGTTACATTGTCTTGCCAGGATCATGACCAAAACACTTGATCCAAAAGGCCTTGTCTTCTCTGCTACCCAGCAGCCCTAAAGCCCCCATTGCAGGAAGCTCCCCTCTCCCAGGACAGCTTGGTCCCTCTTTGCTGGCAAAGGGTGGAGGGGGGCCTGGAACCCCTAACCCTCTGACATCACCCGTTCTGTATTTTATTTATTGGTCGTTTGCATTTATATCCCACCTTTTTCTCCAAGAAGCTCAATGTGTTATGCATGGTTTTCCTGCTCCTCATTTAAACCCTGTGAAGGTAGGCTGAGAGGAATTCATTGATCCAAGGATTTTAACCCTGGTCTCCCAGGTCCTCATCAGACACTCTAACCACCACCACCATTATTATTATTATTATTATTATTATTATTATTATTATTATTATTATTATACCGCCATAAACCCAGAGGTCTCACTCTACCACACTGGCTTGCTAGAGCCACTAATATCTCCTCTGTGATAAATAATATATATATAAACCTATCTCCCTGTAGCCAGGCCAAATGGGGATCCTGCAAAATGACACGGACAGAGAAGCATGGCAACCTCACAGCTGCATCCCCATCGCTGTGTGTTTGGTTCAGTTGGGCATTTTCAGAATTTGGAATGTTGTCTTTCCCTGTTTAAACTGGGGGAAGAAATCAAAGCTCTGTAGGATAGTGGACCCAGATCCATGCTGATTTTTTAGCTTATGGCAGAAATTTACAGGCTTTTTTTGTTTACCATGAGGACTAGCATCAATAACACTAATAACTAATAATAATGAAAGCTATGTGTTTGCAAATCCTGCGCAATGTTGTCCTCCAACCCACAAGAGGCCACTTCCTCCGCATTGTGGTCTGGGAGAATTTGGCCAAGGGCAGCGTCCAAATCTCCTGACCTCCCAAGGGCTTGGGGAGGAGGGAGGGAAGGAGGGAGGCAGTTCTGGGTGGCGCTCCCAACTCCCATTTCTCATTGAAGAGATACATTTCCTGTGCGTGACAGAAAAGTGGCCGAACAGATGCCATTTCTTCTGGGGAGTAGGAGAAATGGCCAGCTCCTACCGCAGCAGGGTTCTCTCTCTTGCTTTTTGGGTGCCTTTGAAATAGTCACATCCTTCATCCGTGCCTCAGTCTCCCATACGATGTGTAATAATATCAGCCTACCCTGTGTGGTGGTGGTGTAAGGAGGCTTGATTCATGACCGTTGTCAGATGCTTTGTAAGTGTGTGTGTGTTATTAGGTTGAGAGGAAGGCCAGCAAAGTGAGTGCAAGAATTTTAGCAGCTGTGGCAGCAAACATGGATGGCCTCAGCTCTCTCAAGTGACTTCCTGGCTGTCTTGCACTCTCCCCCCCCCCACCCCACAAGCTTTGGAAAGACGCCACCTCCCCATTTCTGGATCCTGCTGTGATTTCTGCTCCTATGTCTGCTTTCTTTCCTCCTCCCCCCTGACCCCCATCCCCAATGCAAGGAGGTGTGAACAGCAATAACAGTGCAACCCAGCCTGAGCCAGCAGCCGGCAGGGCGGGCTGGTGTTGGACAAATTAACCAGATTCCTCAGGTTAATGAATTCTCTTCACTGGGTGTAACAGCAAATCCAAAGAAAAGGAAACTATCACCCGCCTCCGCCTGCCTGCACTCCTCTGAACCATCTGCCTAAGCAGGCTGGTGGAGGTGGGTGAAGTCACAGTCTGTGAAATTATTTGGCAATAATTTCAGAAGGTGGGAGCCTGGAAGGGCCAAGGAAGGGCTCCAGTTCAGAGCCAGGCTTGCAGGCAGAGCTCCCATGGGTGTCCCGGAGCCGCCCAGCAGGGGGCACCAGCTGCTTAGGGTGGAGGAAGAAGTTGAGGGGCAGCATTGGCCAGGGAACCTCCTGCCCAGGAGGCCTTCTGGGCTGGGCTAACACTGATGCCCCTCCCCTCCCAGCTCTGCTTTTATTTCAAGCTGAGCCTTTGCCCCAGGGCGGGGGCAAGTTGCCACCAGGAGCAGTGGCCGGCTAGACTCTGGTGCAAAACTTGAGCCTGCCCGTGAGAGTAGCTGGTGGGACACTGGTCCTGTGCTGGCTCTTGGGAGGCCTATTTCTCTCCCCTGGTCGCTCTTCCACTGGCAGTAGGACCCTGAGGTTGACCCTGCCTGCAGCTTCCCTCAAGGCCCTGCCTTCCCCACTAAGGGCTTTCCATCACCAAGCTGTCTTGCGCTGATGCGTGCCCCCTCACCCCGGGCCACCTTGCTCCCTTTGCAAATACAAGAGACTGTCTGAGCAGAGCTCTTTCTCCCTCCTGATCCAGCTGCTTCTGCCACAAGGCCTCCCCACTCTGCCCTCCTTCCCTTTCCAAAGAGGCTGGCAGCCTCTGCTGGAGCAAGCCCGGCGCTGCCTGCATGCGCTCATGCCAGGAGGAGGAGGCGGCAGGCTAGCATAGAGGCTGGGCCAAGCACAGGTGCACCTTCGGCAACCGGTGTTGCCTTTGAGACTTCTCTTTTGCACTCTCGAGCTGTAATTGGCTTCATTGCCGTGAATGAAATAAAACCTTTATATTTACTACAGAGGCTCCTTGGGGCTGCTTTCGTTTTGTTCTTTGGAGTGTGCGCAAGTGTCTCGACGACGCTGGGTTTGCATGTGTGTTAAAACGCACGCAGAGGCAGAGATCCACTTGATCCTTTTTTCTCTGAGCTGAGCCAAGACATGCATGCCGTCCTCCATGGCTGAGAGCCAAGGCCTTCCTGATCCCACACTGAAAAATAAGTAACTTGCAAGGGCAAGGATTTCCAGAGGCACCAAACTCTCTGGAATGCTCTGGGGCAAGATTTGTACTGGGAAATTTCCAAGAGCTGGCCCTCTCTCCTGTGCTTGGGGAAGGAATGCTGTATTTTCTTACCCTCTTTGTCTGCTGCTCCTGCTCTGGGGCAGAAGAGAACAGTTGTTGGGGACAATGGCTATTTTATGGGACAAGAAGCAGCCACCTGGGGCTGCTGAACTTTGGGGTCCAAAGCTCAACCTATGAGACCAGCTATGTTCTCTTTGGGCTTTCTGCACTTTCAACTGGTAGCCAGCAAAGAGTGCACAGCAAACTTTTTGCTCTTCTGCAAAAAGTTTCACTTCTGCCACCTCCCTGTGGTGGAGGAGGATGCAGCAGAAGGTATACAGGGCAGATCCCTGTGCCTGAAGTTCTAACATTTGCAGGAAGGGAACAAAGGCTGGTAGTGGTGACAAAGAGACAAAGTTCCAGGTCTTATTGACAAATTAATAAACTGAGAAGTCACCAGGCCCGGAGGGCATCCACTGCAGAGTTCTTAAAAGAACTCAACTATGAAATTGCTTGTGTTCCAGCAAAGATTTGCTACTTGTCTCTAAGATCAGCTTCTCTACCCGAGGACAGGAATTGGCCAACACAAGACCAATTCTTAAAGAGAGATCGAAGAAGTCACAGGGGTGTGATTAGGGCGACATGTAGGAGGCCTGAGTATGTGAGGCATCCATCTGGTCCCTTCGAGTTGCTGGAAACAAGACAGGTCTCTGGATCCTAGTTCCTACTTCTTGTGCCCTCCTCTTCCCCTGTGATATTGACCTTGGACACTTCCTTGAGCTTTTTTCTGAACCATGTTTGGACCTAGGCTGATTCTCTGTGCTTGACCTGGGCTTGTGGAGACCATGCTGCTGCTGGAGCCCTGCTCTCTTAGGTACATTTGTTGTTAAAATAATTTACCCTCCTTAGACTGAGAGCCTCACTCCTGCTGGAGCTTGGATAGCTTGCTGAAGATGTTGATCCAGTGTACAGCAACTGTGAAAAAGGCAAATGCCATACTAGGGATCATTAAGAAGGGAACCAAAAATAAAGCTGTCAACATCCTAAGCAAATCTGTTATAGAAATCTGTGACATAATTGCACTTGGAACACTGTGTACAGTTCTAGTCATCTTATCTCAAAAGGGATATTGCAGAGTTGGAGAAGGACCAGAGAAGGGCAACCAAAACGATCAAGGAAAGCTTACAGCATTTGGGACCTTTTGGCTTAGAGGGAAGCCAGGTAAGGGGGTGGATATGACAGATGTGTATGCAATTATGGACACAGCTACATTAGTAAAGAAACAATTTGAACGCGCTACAAACATGCAACACCAGATGGTGCCAGAGAGCAGGAAATTTCTATATAGTGATTTTCCATAAGGTTTTTTTTTAGTTTGTTATAACGATCTAATTTCTGACTTATTTATAGCAGGGTTTTTTCCTGTGTGTAGACCCACCCTATGTCTCATAGTACTAGAATTCAGAGCCGTCCAATGAAGCTGAAAGATTCTGGAGGAAATAACTTCTTAATAAGGCACATGCTTAAACTATTGAATTTGAAATTTCAAGATGTAGGGATGTTGGGTGGCTTTAAAAGATTAGGCGAATTTGTGGGGGAGGATAAGACTATCAATAGCTTCTAACCACAACGGCTCTTTTCTCCCTCCACTCTCATAGGCCATATGTATCTGAAGACCCCATCTAGGAGTCTCAAGTAGGGAGAGCACTGCTGTTGTACTCATGGCCTGCTTGTGGGCCTCCCATTGGAGCAGCTGGTTGGTCACTGTGAGAACAGGATGCTGGCCTTGATGGGTCCCCCTTGGCCTGATCCAGCAGTCAGGCTCCTCATATTCAGAGGTAGGCAGTGTTTTTGTGAAGGCAGGGAAAGTGGTAGCCCCTCACCCCCGTTCCCTGTCAAGATGGACTGAGCTCTCAGTTTTTCCGGATGCCAAAATGAATGCATGACTCCAACAGCTGTTGGTGCGGCAAACCTTGTACTGGACTCAGTCTGGCCACAAGCACAGGTTCAAAAATCTTTTGGTATAAAACATTCCTTGATTTATTCCAAGCGGGGGAGGAAGAGGGATTTGTACAGGGTGCAATAAATAGGAGGAAGAGCTGCTGGGTCAGACTACCCCTTTGGCAGGCCTGGTCAGAGGAGGGACAGCCTCAAGGCCACAGGATGCCCAGGTGAGACTGAGAAAAAGATGGAAAGCTAGACAGAGAGCTGTCTTTATCCTAGGTCTGGACCCAGCCTTTCTCTTCAATTGCTCCCTTTCTCAGTGCCAGGTCACGGGGAAACAAACTGCCTCTCCTGGGTTGCAAGAGCTTCCCCAAGCTCTGCCAAGAAAGATAGCAGGAAATGGAAAGGAACAGAGTAGCTGGCAAAGTGGATCTCAGGTGGATTTCAGCAGCAGCAGCCGGAGCCATAAATTAACATCTTCCCCAGGGAGCCTTGTCCAACACTTTCTTGAGGGCCCCATCCTGTGGCTGTCCTCTTGCCTTTCCCATGTCCTCAGTGGAAGCTGCGGCAGGACTGGAAGGACGCCCTACACGCACGTTGCTCCAAGGGCGTGCATGTGTGCAGGACAGTTGCGGCCGGTCTGTTCTCAGGACTCTGTCTGGATGAAGAAAACCCACATAGGAACCGCCTGGTGACCATCTGAGGCAGAGGCACCGCCATGATGGATCCCATTCCCCTGCTGGTGGGCAGCCTAACTCTGCCCACCCACTTCCATCCTGCCAGGACAGAAAAGGGGTCCTACCCCAGAGGGAAAGCAACACTGACCCTGAGGATGGTGTAGATCCAGTTGAGGTAGGCTTGCACTTTGGTGTAGACGCCAGGGGTGCTTGGGCTTCCGCAGCCGTGGCCCCAGCTGACAATGCCCACAATGTGCCACGGGCCCTGTCTGTGCACCAGTGGCCCTCCGCTGTCTCCCTGGGTGAGAAGGAAGACACAGGCTGCATAAATGTGGACAGCACTCAGCTGAATCCCAAATGGAAACACTAGGGATCAAGAGCTCTGCATGTCGCATCCTGCTCCTAGTTTGTCTCCCATGAAGGGCAACCAGCCATGCCTTGCCCTCTATAACCCACATCTGTCCCCTCTCCAAATGAAGCTCAGCTTCAGCGTCATCCTTCTTAGAAAAAGGGAACTGATGATTCCCTGCTCTGCCCACCCTCCTGCTGGGACTGCCGAGCTGGAGGAGGAGAGTTGCGGCCTTTGATCTTTCTGTGCCACTTACCTGGCAGGTGTCGGCTCTACCCCGATCACGGCCTGCGCAGAGCATCTTTTCGGTCACCTCCCCATGGTAGGCATCAGGTGCATTGCAGATGCGGCTGTCAATCAACTCCACCTGTGCCTCCTGTAGCTCCTTGGACAGTGTACCTAGCAAAAAGCATGGTGGAGACGACTTCAAATTATGGGAGAGGCTGCAGTGGCCCAAAAGTATTCCCAGCCCATCTATATGTAAGGCTGGAGGGTTTGTTCCAAGCCAATTTCACGCTTGGAGTCCTCATTCCAGTTGTTTGCTTTGCAGGTCCTTTCCCACCTGACCTGGGAAGGCAGGGCTCTGACTCCAGCTACAAAAGCTGAGGCTGCTGAAGAGACTCTTGGGGTTTTGTTGGGGTTGTTTGCTATTGGTTTTTTGTATCTTTATTATAGATTTTGTTGTGATTTATGTGGAAATTGTTCCGTTAGGCTGTGTATTTTTTAAGGTTTTATTTATTGCTCAGAGGGACGCGGGTGGCGCTGTGGGTTAAACCACAGAGCCTAGGACTTGCCGATCACAAGGTTGGCGGTTCGAATCCCCGCGACGGGGTGAGCTCCCGTTGCTTGGTCGCTGCTCCTGCCAACCTAGCAGTTTGAAAGCACGTCAAAGTGCAAGTAGATAAATAGGTACGGCTCCGGCGGGAAGGTAAATGGCGTTTCCGTGTGCTGCTCTGGCTTGCCAGAAGCGGCTTAGTCGTGCTGGCCACATGACCCGGAAGCTGTACGACGGCTCCCTCGACCAATAAAGTGAGATGAGCGCCGCAACCCCAGAGTCGGTCACGACTGGACCTAATGGTCAGGGGTCGCTTTACCTTTACTTATTTATTGCTTATGACTAATTTTGCTATTTTGCAGCTATTTTTTCCCCTTCATGTTGTAAGCCACCTTGATCATGGTTTGAAAGGTGGCATGCAAATAAAATCAGAAAGCTGCTTGATATCGAGTCAGACCACTGGTCCATCTTGCTCAGTATTGTCAACACTGACTGGCAGCAGCTCTCCTGGATTTCAAGCAGGCGAACATTCCCTCCCTATTGGAGATGCCACCAGGGACTGAATTTGGCACCTTCTGTATGCAAAGCAGATACTTTACCACTGAGCTATGGCCTGTCCCCAAGGCTGGCAGGCACTCTTTGCTCTTTTAATGAAGGCATGTTCAGGGCTGCCCAAGCCAGACTTTTGTTTGGGTATGGGTACCTGTACCCACTTGCCTGCTCTTGGTTGGTCTCTGTAGGCTCCTGGGCTCTGTCTGCTGTCCTCAGCAGCTGCACCTTGTGGGAACAGCTTGGGAGTTCAAAGGCACAGCAGGTATGGTAATCTCCCCATCTAGAGTGTGGCATCCTTGCTCAGTCCTAAGCAGGCTGCAGCAGAGACCAGAAGGCAGCTGGCCCGGCACTTGCAGGGCAATGGTGGGGAAGAAGATGATAATGCCAAGGGAAAACTCACCATCTTGCTTGGTGGATCCCCAGCCTGTCACCCACAAGGGGGTT